AAGCAGAGGTTGCAGTGAGCTGAGATAGTGCCATTGCACTCCAGCCTGGGAAACAAGAGTGAAACTCCATCTCAAAATAGAATAGAATACAACAGAATAGAATAGAATAAAAAATAAGGCTGGGTATGGTGGCTCATGCTTGTAATCCCAGCACTGTGGGAGGCTGAGGCCAGCAGATCACTCGAGGTTAGGCATTCGAGACCAACCTGGCCAACATGGTGAAACCCCATCTCTATTAAAAATACAAAAATTAGCTGGGCGTGGTGGCAGGCGCCTGTAATCCCAGACACTCAAGAGGCTGAGGCAGGAGAATCACTTGAACCCAGGAGGCAGAGGTTGCAGTGAGCTAAGGTTGAGCCACTGCACTCCAGCCTGGGCAACAGAGCAAGACTCCATCTCAAAAAAATAAAATAAAATAAAATAAAAATAAATAAATAAAAATAAAAGTTAAATGTGATCTTAACAGGCTCCTGATTAGAACCCTTACCTGGCTTAAGTCTTAGGATAAAGACAAACTCTACCACGGCCCACAGGCTGCTAGCCCCTGCCTGCTTGTCCAACTGTGACTCATGCTTTACTTCCCTGTACTGTTTATGGCACAGTCATATAGGTCTCCTTTAAGTTCTAAAAACCTGCTCTGCTTTTCCTGCCCCAGGACCTTTGCACATACTGTTCTCTCTGCTAGAATGCTCTTTCCTCCCCCACTCACTAGTTAAGTAGTACTCATCCTTCAGATTTTAGCTAAAACATTCCTTCCTCAGGTAGGCTGATCTTCCCAAATAGGCCAAATTCCCCTACTATAAGCTCTCATGCCATCATTTGCCTCTTCACCATGATACTCAGCACAAGTTGCAAGATTCCATTTGCTTGAATTATTTGATTAATGTCCATCTCCTCATATCTCCATGAGACTGGCAACCTTATTTATCCTTGGTCTCTAGAGAGTGCCTCATTGAATAGTTGTTGAAGGAATGCGTCCATGAATGAGTTAACTGTGATTTGGGGACCTTCTGAAAAGAAAGGAAAGATTTAAATAAACAAATTATACATTTTTTTTTTAATTATCAAAACAGTCACATTAAGGACACTTACATTGCCAGGCTAAAATCAGGAAGGGTTTAAAAAGTTATTCCCCTTTAGAAAGAGAAATGCAAGTCTATTACCAATACTATGTGAAATCAGCCAAGAGAAAGCAGATCCCTTCTCTTCTGACGCAGAGAGGAAGCCATGAATACTGGCAATTACTATAACAGAAGACTGTCTTTAAGTATAAGAAAACAGATCCTACAAAAACTCACATTACCTTTGGTGATGCCATTATTTTCTACAGTAAACTAAAAATAAGAATACAAATATGACGCCTGTTATTATAGGACGTGTCTGACATATTACACACAGTTGAAGTGACACATCACTGTCTTACCCAGAGCATCAGTGGGGAAGGTGATGGAAAACAGTAGATGGATCCAGTGATTATTTGTAATTTCACATTCTGACTCCGTCTGCGGCCTCATTAAGGTGATAGAAACATACTAGGAATAAGGCACCAAAGACAAAGGTACAAAGGCCCAGAGGCCATCAGAACGGAAAGATGTAACAGTAACACAGAATTCGTGGAGTAAAGAAATGTCAGCTCCAAAGAAATATTATGCATATTATATACGTATAATTATCCACTTTTTAAAATGTCTTTGAAAAGGTAGTAAAAATCAAAGTTCGATCTGGCATAATTAACTTGGTTCCTGAGTTTAAAGCCAGATAAAACCCTGTATCAAAAAACATTTTTATTCATGCTGTCTTACATGAATATAGTAGAAAGCTGCTGGTTTTAAAAAGGTATCAAAATGGTAACTCTTAGAGTATGTATAAAAAAATTCACAGATCTTTCATCAGTCACAATATTTAATAGTGGTCTCTAAACTATTCGATAAAATGGCAGTTGTTTAGAAACAGATAAATAGCCAACTCTAGTGACCAAACCAGGAAAAGGAAATTCTGAAGCAGGATCCTAAAACCTGTCACGCATTTTCATATTCTCGGCAGTTGATGTGTGGAAATGGTAAAGGTGTGGTTTGAAGTAGCTAGCACCCAGACTGCGTCAGTTCTGATTGACTGCAAAGTGCAGGGTGTTAATGGCACAAAGGCAGCTTTTTAGTCACTTTCAGTCATGGAATTGTTTTGTTTTGTTTTTTGTTTTCGAGACAGAGTCTTGCTCTGTTGTCCAGGCTGGAGTGCAGTGGCACTATCTTGGCTCATTGCAACCTCCACCTTCCAGGTTCAAGAGATTCTCCTGACTCAGCCTCCCAAGTAGCTGGGATTACAGGCGCCCACCACCACGCCCATCTAATTTTTGTATTCTTAGTAGAGACAGGGTTTCACCATGTTGGCCAGGCTGGTCTCGAACTCCTGACTTCAGGTGATCCACCCGCCTCGGCCTCCCAAACTGCTGGGATTACAGGCTTGAGCCACTGCACCCGGCCTTCAGTCACAGAATTGTGATGAGGATTGGAATGCATTGTGTAGCTCAGCAGTTAGATTTGATAGATTCCAAGGCTGGTCTGGTGAGTTACCTGATTTGGTCCATAGCCCTTCTAGAACTGTCCAGTGGAAACCTAAGTTCCTGAGAGTTCCAGGGTTAGTCTGGGCTCCCTAAGAACATTAGAACCAGGGAAGGTATGGGCTGAGTCTGTGTGCCCATTCGTCAGGCTTGCTCTCTGTTCCAGTTATCTGTTGCTGTGGAACAGACAAGCCCAAAACTTAGTGACTTAAGATAACAATTTGGTTTTCTGGATTTATGGGGCAGTTCTCACTTGGGATGTATCAAGTGGTATCAGTAATACGTTAGTAGAGTCCAGAATCACCTCAAGGCTTCTTCTCTCTCATGTTTGGTGACTGGGCTTGGATGGCTTGAAAGCTGGGGCTGGTCAGGCACTGTCCACATGGCTGCTTGGGCTTCCTCATAGCAGGGTGGTCTCAGGATAGGCAGACTTTTTTTTTTTTGAGATGGAGTCTCACTCTGTCACCCAACCTGGAGTGCAGTGGCACGATCTCAGCTCAATACAACCTCCACCTCCCAGGTTCAAGTGTTTCTCCTGTCTCAGCCTCCTGATAGCTAGGACTACAGGTGCCCGCCACCATGCCCAGATAATTTTTGTATTTTTATTAGAGATATGGTTTCACCATGTTGGCGAGTCTGGTCTCGGACTCCTGACTTTAAGTGATCCACCCGCCTTGGTTTCCCAAAGTGCTGGGATTACAGGTGTGAGCCACCACACCTGGCCAGGATAGGAAGACTTTTAAATGGAGTCTGGCTTCCCCGATAGCAAGAGTTCCAAGGGACAGGAAGTAGAAGCTGTCAGCCTCTTAAGACCAGGATCTGAAACTGACACAATGTCACTTCCACTTTTGGATAAAACAATCAGAGCCACCCATTCTCAAGGGGAGGAGATAAAACCCTTAGGTCTTGGGGGACTTGAGTGTCAAAGAATCTGTGGCCACCTTTAGTCCTCCACATTCTTCAACCAGGACGAAAAGGGTTTGTTTTTAGTTGGACATTATCCTAGTCTGACCTCATAATGAAATGTTTTGCATTCACGTAGATCTTTAAACATTAACGAGACAGTTCATGTGCAATCTGTCCTCACAATATCTCTGAGATAGTAGTTGGGCAACGAGGAGACAGAGGCACAGAGGTGAGAGGCCTAGGGTCACACAACTTCCTAGGGACAGAGTTGAAACTGACATCTCAATCTGTTTGCTCTCAGTCCATGCAGAGGGATTCTGGTTTGTTTAACCAGGTCACTTTGCTGTCAGACACAGAGAGCTATAGAAGATGAAAGCACATTTCCCTTTGGCTAAAACTGTGGCCACAGAGCTTTGCAGGTGAAGTTCAAGTTGCTAGTAAAGGTCATGTTAATATGGCTACTGCAGCCCCTGCTATCGGTAAGGACTCTTTTTTTTTTTTTTTTTTTTTTGAGACAGTTTGCTGTGCCTCCCAGGCTGGAGTGCAGTGGCACAATCTCGGCTCACTACAACCTCCGCCTCCCAGGTTCAAGTGATTCTCGTGCCTCAGCCTCCCGAGTAGCTGGGATTACAGGTGCACACCACCATGTCTGGCTGATTTTTGTATTTTTAGTACAAACGGGATTTCGCCTTGTTAGCCAGGCTGGTCTCCAACTCCCAACCTCGGGTGATCTGCCTGCCTCGGCCTCCCAAAGGGCTGGGATTACAGACGTGAGCCATGGTGCCTGGCTTCAGTAAGGACTCTTGAAGCCACTGTACTGCCCTTCACTCTTGGGAAACTCTTTTCGGATCCTCCAGCGGCAGCAGCTGGGCAGGATGGCAAAGTCAGCCATGTCCTGGGAGCCGAAGCGCCAGGTGGCGTAGCACCTGTAGGCACAGTGCCGCAGCCGGCTGTTGGTGGAATCCACATCCAGCGCCAGCAAGGGCTCCTGGTAGAGCAGGAGGAACTGCAGGACGTGTCTGGACAGGACCAGCTTCCTGAACAGCTCTGAGGTGGTGATGCAGGCCCCTGGCTTTTTCCGGCAGCACAGCTCCTCCAGGCACCTGTGGCTCTTCGGGAGTTGGGACGGAAGGCAGCTTCCACACTGGCACCAGACGGGGCTGTCCCTGGATCTAGGAGTCGCCTCCTCTCTAAGCGGCTGCATCTCCCCTAGTTGTCCAGGAATCGGGGGTGGGTCATGGAGGGCCAGGGGCAGCTTGGACAAATCTGTGAAGTCCATTGCAGGTCTCTGAAAAAGCAAGTTTCCAAACCTATTAGCAATGACAAGCCCTCAGGTTCTAGGTTCTTTAATTTTATTAACTTACAAAGTTACATTTAATATTACATGAGTTATAGTAGCCGTCATTTATTAGGTGTAGATATCAGGACCATGCATGTGTTCTGTAAGCATTGCCGCATTCAAGCCTTTGAAGATGCTTGTGAGGTAATGTATCCTTGTCTCTATTTTACAGATTTTTTTTTTTTTTTTTTTTTGAAAGAGGGTCTCACTCTTGCTTAGGCTGGAGCACAGTCGTGTGACCTGTCAGCTCACTCTAACCTCCACCTCCCAGGTTCAGGCAATTTTCATGCCTTAGCCTCTTAAGTAGCTTGGATTACAAGTGTACGCCACCATGCCCAGCTAATTCTTTTGTATTTCTAGTAGAAACGGTATTTCAACATATTGGCCAGGCTGGTTTGGAACTCCTGACCTCAGGTGACTTGCCCGCCTCAGCCTCCCAAAGTGCTGGGATTACAGGCATGAGCCACTGCACCTGGCCTATTTTACAGATTTTGGAAAATGAAATTCAGAAAAGCCAGGTCTCTGTTGAGATGTCACCTCCTGTCCTGACTACCCTATCTAGCAGCTTTTCTCCCACATGATTCCCTTATCACACTGTGGTATTCCACATTCTTCCCAGGACTTAGCACTATCGGAAATTTTTTTTTTTTTTTGAGACAGAGTCTTGCTCTGTTTCCCAGGCTGGAGTGCAGTGGCATGATCTTGGCTCAGTGCAACCTCCACCTCCCGGGTTCAAGTGATTCTTCTGCCTCAGCCTCCTGAGTAGCTGGGACTACAGGTGTGTACCACCACACCCAGCTAATTTTTATAGTTTTAGTAGAGACAGAGTTTCACCACATTGGCCAGGCTGGTGTTGAACTCCTGACCTCGAGTGATCCACCCACCTCAGCCTCCCAAAGTGCTGGGATTACAAGCGTGAGCCACCACACCCAGCCGTGACTTGGTTTTTAACAAAAATGTTTAAAAAGTAAAAATAAAAATAAAAAATGTTAAAAATAGAAAACAGTATATAGAATAAAGATATAGAGAAAGAATTATTATTATTATTATTATTATTATTTTGAGATGGAGTCTTGCTCTGTCACCCAGGCTGGAGTGCAGTGGCACGATCTTGGCTCACTGCAAGCTCTGCCTCCCGGGTTCATGCCATTCTCCTACCTCAGCCTCCCAAGTAGCTAGGACAACAGGTGCCTACCACCACGCCTGGCTATTTTTTTGTATTTTTAGTAGAGACAGGGTTTCACCATGTTGGCCAGGATGGTCTCGATCTCCTGACCTTGTGATCCACCCACCTTGACCTCCCAAAGTGCTGGGATTGTAAGCGTGAGCTACCACACCGGCTGAGAAATAAAATATTTTTATACCACTGTACAAAGTTTAAAAAATTTAAAAATTTATAAAGTAAAAAAGTCACAGTAAGCTAAGATTGATTTATTGAAGAAAGAGAAATATTTTGAAATAAATTTAGTGTAGCCTAAGCATACAGTGTTTATGAAGTCTACTGTAGTGCACAGTAACAACCTAGGCTTTCACATTCACTCACCACTCACTCACTGACCGACTCACCCAGAGCAACTTTCAGTCCTGCAAGCTCCATTCATGGTAAGTGCCCTATGCAGATGTACCATTTTTTAGCTTTATATATCATATTTTCACTGTACCTTTTCTATATTTAGATATACAAATCTTACCATTCTGTTACAGTTGCTTACAGTATTCAGTACAGTAACATGCTGTACAGGTTTGCAGCCTGGGAGCAGTAGACTACACCATGTAACCTAAGTGTATATTAGGCTATTCCATTTAGGTTTGTGTAAATAGAGTCTATGATATTCAGACAACCACAGAATCAGCTACTGATGCATTTTTCAGAACATATCCCCATCATTAAGTGACACATGACTGTAGTTCACTTCATACACAAATCCAATAAGAACATTAGAATGGAAACACTTTGGTCAGTCTTTCTCAAGAAGAGATGTAAAAATCCTAAATATTAGTGAATGGAATTCAGCAATAAATACAAAGAATAGTACAACACATTCAAATTGAGTTTACTTCAGGAATGCAAGGTTGGCTTAATATTTGAAAATCAATCAGTACAATTCACCACCTAACAGAAAAAAAGAAGAAAACTCATTGGTATTTCAAAAGGAGCAGAAAAAAACTTTTTTTTTTTTTTTTTTTTTTGAGATGGAGTCTTGTTCTGTTGCCCAGGCTAGAGTGCAGTGGCATGATCTCAGCTAACTGCAGCCTCCACCTCCCAGGTTCAATCAATTCTCCCACCTCAGTCCTGAGTAGCTGGGATTACAGGTGTGCACCACCACGCCCGGCTAATTTTTGTACTTTTAAAAGAGACAGGGTTTCGCCATGTTGGCCAGGCTGTTCTCGAGCTTATGACCTCAGGTGATCCGCCCACCTTGGCCTCTCAAAGTGATTGCAGGCATGAGCTACTGTACCCGGCCAGAAAACAAATAAGACATTATTTCAGAAATCAATATCCATTAATGGTAAAAGTGCTTAGCAAACTAGAAACAGAAGGGAATTTTCTGACCTAATAGCACATTCTTAAAAACATACTGCAGGCTGGATGCAGTGGCTCACTCCTGTAATCCCAGCACTTTGGGAGGCTGAGGTGGGCGGATCACCTGTGGTCAGGAGTTGGAGACCAGCCTGGCCAACATGGCAAAACTCTGTCTCTACTAAAAACACAAAAATTAGCCAGGCATGGTAGTGCACACCTGTAATCTCAGCTACTTGGGAGGCAGAGGCAGCAGGATTGCTTGAACCCAGGAGGCAGAGGTCGCGGTGAGCCAAGATCACACTACTGCACTCTAGCCTGGGCGTCAGAGTGAGACTGCATCTCAAAACAAACAAACGAACAAACAAAAACTTACTGCAAATAGTATAATGAATAGTGAAGTATAAAAGCCTTTCTCCCTAAGATAGGGAATGAAGCAGAGATGGCTGCTATTACCATTTCTGTTCAGTATTGTACTGGAGGTCCTGGTCAATGTCATAAAACATTAGATGCCAGGAAGAGGCAAGGAAAGATTCCTCCCTAGAGCCTTCAGATAGAGAGGGGCCCTACCAACACCTTAATTTCAGACTTCTAGGCTCTAGAACTGTGACAGAATATGTTTCTGTTGTTGTTGTTGTTGTTTTTGAGATGGAGTTTTGCTCTTGTTGCCTAGGCTGGAGTGCAATGGTGCGATCTCAGCTCACCACAACATCTGCCTCCCAGGTTCAAGCAATTTTCCTGCCTCAGCCTCCCGAGCAGCTGGGATTACAGGCATGTGCTACCATGCCTGGCTAATTTTGGTATTTTTAGTAGAGATGGGGTTTCTCCATGTTGGTCAGGCTGGTCTCAAACTCCCGACCTCAGGTGATCTGCCCACCTCGGCCTCCCAAAGTGCTGGGATTATGTGAGCCACCAGCCATTTCTGTTCTTTAAGCCGCTTAGTGTATGGTAATTCAGCCCTAGGAAATTGAAGATGCCCAGCAGCCAGAACTGTCGGGGAGAGTGCGAATAAGAACCACCATTTTGTAGCACTGTTTGTTAGTATCTCCTGAAACTGAATATATGTCTGCCTTATGACTCAGCAATTCCACTCTTAGGTAACTGCCCAGTAGAGTACCGTATGTTGAGCATAGCAGCATTATTGGCATTAGCCCCAAACTGGACACTACCCAAATGTCCATCAACAGTAGGATGGCTGAGTAAGTTGGATGCTTATAAAACGGAATTATACAATGGGAATGAACTATACACAGCGTCATGAACGACTCTCGCAAAAATAATGTTAAGTAAAGGAAGCCAGACACTCAACCGAGTATGTACCACTTACACACTACATGATTCAACTTTTAGAAAATTCTAGCAGAAAGTAAAATTAATCTTTGGATACAGGATAATGACTACTTTTAAGAGAGGGCAGTTGGGTGGACTTGGTAGAGCCGAGGCGGGAGGATTGCTTGAGACCATCCTGGGCAACGTAGTGACACCTCATTTGTAATTTAAAAATATACATTTGTTTCTCTTTTTTTTTTTTTGAGATGGAGTCTTGCTCTGTCACCCAGGCTGGAGTGCAGTGGCACAATCTCGGCTCACTGCAACCTCCACCTCCTGGGTTCAAGCGATTCTCCTGCCTCAGCCTCCTGAGTAGCTGAGATTACATGTATGCCACCACACCACCTGGCTGATTTTTGTATTTTTAGTAGAGACAGGGTTTCACCATGTTGGCCAGGTTGGTCTTGAACTCCTGACCTCAAGTGATCCACCTGCCTTGGCCTCCCAAAGTGCTGGGATTGCAGGTGTGAGCCACCATGCCCAGCCAAATTTTAAAAATTAAAAAAAACAGAAAGGGTAGTGATTGGAGCAGGGCATAAAAGGGACTCCTGCTAGTAATTTTCAGTTGTTTAATCTGAGTGCTGGTTACATGAATATGTTTACTTTGTTCAAATCCATCAGTTTTGATTTGTACAAGTTTCTAGATGGGTTTATATTTAATAGTAAATTTTCTTTAAAAAATAAAGACAAAATGATTTAACTTACTGGGACTTCTTGGCCCTTGACATGTTGCAGACTTCTCCCTAGTAGCTTCTGGTTCACCATCCTAATGTGGGATTCATCCACAAAGGACACATACTTTAATGTCTAGGAAAAGACGGTTTAAAAGTTTACCCATTTTTGTACAGAATTATCAAGAATTGCCTATCTAAAGGCAATTGTAATTCCTATTTGCCAAATGATAGACTATTGAACAAACTGGTTCAAAACTCTCATTGACCAAGAATAAATGATTTCTGAGTCTAAAGGTAAATCAGAAATGGAACCCCATGCTTTTTTTTTTCTTTTTTTGAGACAGAGTTTGCTCTTGTTGCCCAGGCTGGAGTGCAGTGGCGCGATCTTGGCTCACTGCAACCTCCGCCTCCCAAGTTCAAGTGATTATGCTGCCTCAGCCTCCTGAGTAGCTGGGATTACAGGCATGCACCTCCACACCCAGTTAATTTTGTATTTTTAGTAGAGATGGGGTTTCTCCATGTTGGGCAGGCTGGTCTTGAACTCCCGACCTCAGGTGATCCCCCCTACTTTGGCCTCCCAAAGTGCTGGAATTACAGGCATGAGCCACCGCGCTGGGCAGAACCCCATGCATCTTAATTTGTAAATTCAACATAGCCACAGCTTACTGCATAATGTTTTTACATTGGATCCCCCAATTGCTGCGTACAATTTCTTTGTGGTATTATCTCAATTTCAGTAACTCTAGATTCAGTATCTCCAGAAAGTTGTACTATTGCAACTTAAATTATTTATATGTTTGTTAAATTTCATCTCATCTTGGGCCATTAAGTAGTGATTAGTTTTAGCTGTAAAGATGAACTTTTATTTCAAATTGTGAATGCATATACAATGGACAGTGAATTGTGCATTCAGCTACTGGAACAGGACAATTCATGTTGCTGGCTCTTGTTGCCCAGGCTGGAGTGCAATGGCGCGATCCTAACTCACTGCAACCTCCATCTCCTGGGTTCAAGTGATTCTCCTGCCTCAGCCTCTGGAGAAGCTGGGATTACAGGCATGCGCCACCACACCCCACTACTTTTTTGTATTTTTAGTAGAGACGGGGTTTCTCCATGTTGGCCAGGCTGGTTTTGAACTCCTGACCTCAGGTGATCCTCCCACCTTGGCCTCCCAAAGTGCTGGGATTACAGGCGTGAGCTACCGCGTCCAGCGAATCACCTTTGTTTTTAGGTACCAGAGATTTCTCTTTGGGGAAAATCATGGAGTTGAATGCAGAGGACCTGCTTAATAAAGTCCAATGGATTAATCAAATCAAAAGAATACAGATGACGCTGAAATCTCTTTGACTACTCCCCCACCTAAGCTCCTTTCCAGAAGCAGCCACTGGTACAATTTTGTGTACATATATACAACCACACATATGTATATGTGTGTGTGTGTACACTTCTGTATATATAGAATATACATGCAGAAAATATATAGATTAGCTTCTGTGTCTAGTGGTTTTTTATCCTATATATCATATAATATATATTGCTCTACAGTTTTCTTTTTTTTCTTTTTTTTTTAATTTATTTTTTATTATTATTATACTTTAAGTTCTAGGGTACATGTGCATAACGTGCAGGTTTGTTACATATGTATACTTGTGCCATGTTG